TAAATTCAAATTATTGATATAAATTTAACAATAGATATATCTTCATTTGATTTTAATGTGTATTTTTCATATTTTTTGAATTATTTTTAATCATTTCTATAGGTCACTGTTCTTACTCAGTATGTCATTAAACAAGAGAGTTAAATAATTTAACTAAAGAAAATGTTTTATATAATAAAGTAATTTAATTCTTTATTATTTATTAAACATACGGATGTATTGATAATATGGATGGTTTATTTTGAAACTAACAGAAGAAATGGATTTTATTACATTTTTATATATATATATGAAAGTTAAAAATAACAAAATGATATTTAACTTAAGAATATGAGTTACTGTTGCTCCTTTGATATCCAACAATACATTTGAATACAGCATATCCAATCCAATTCAATTACTTATACCTTTCACAAAAAAATAAACATATTATAATCAATTTTTTTTTAATCAAAGTAAATATTAAGGAACATAATGGTATCAAATAGATGTAAGTTCTTTATTAATAAAGAAGTTATTAATAATGGGAAAACATTAAAAAAAGGAAAAGTCAGGTATTTAAGGATTAAGATTTCTCAGTCTACAATTTTTTATAAACACTTATAAAAACTTAAGGTATTCTTTCAGAAATCTTGATAAATTTAAAATAGAATTTTTAAAAAAGAATTTAGAATTGAAAATATTATGAGATATTGTATTTTGTGTGTGTGTGTGTGTGTGTGTGTGTGTGTGTGTGTGTGTGTGTGTAAGATTTTTTTTAACAGAATCAATCTATATATTAACAGAGCATCAAATAATACAAACATCAATGATATTATATATATAAATGTTAAAGATATCTTCAATTTTTCATGTTTTTGATACAATAAATTTTCTATGGCTTCAAAATTGTTCAATTTTTACAAAATTCAGGTTTTCAATTTTTCTAATTTGTACAAAATATATAATTTTCATCTATCAATTATATACCTCTATTATTATTTTAATTTAAAGCAACATGATGTGCAAGCTTTTAGCCAGTCTTTTCCGGAACCACGTCGTCTTTGCGTCGATGAATCGTCTCCTGACACGTCAATTTCACGGTAGAATTACGATGAAACCGCGACTAAAAGCCCGTGGATAATCCACCGTTATACGCCGATATGGTCCACACAGAAGAGGAAAAAAGCAGAGAGACTACCTACGTGCAAATCGCGCATTATCACGTACACCCTCTATCTCGCGCACAGGTGCATCAAGCCTATACACATATGGCAGAACTTCCGTTAATTAACACTGGCGGATGCTAATGACTTCTGTTACGAAATAACAACGCACGAACGAGTGCTTTCGATGAGCGTGTCCGATATCGAAAAGCCGTGCAACCGATGAATTCTTTGTACGTATAGCTGAACCAAAGATTCACATTAGAGAACGATATTGGAAACATCATAGCATGCAAACAAGCACGCAAAATTTCGAATTTACATTTACAATAAATTTACATGTTTAATATCGTAGTAATATCGTTAGATAAATTAAAGCAATTTTGATACATCGAATGCATATATATAGAAAATATAAAGAAAGATTTTGTTCTATAAAATTTCGAATAATAGAGTCAACAGAAATAATCGTTCTTAATGATGAAGAGTAATGACAGCTAAAAATACATGGAATGCATTAACCTTCATAATTGTAATCAATCTAATGTCCATGCTTTAAAATACGTAACAATTCCTTTTGGAATTCGAACGAAATCGACAGCTCCAGTACTTTATATACTAAAACTCTTAATCAATGTGATTGAAACAGTATAAAGATATGTTGAATTCACTTCATAATGCCATTAATCAAGCTTAAAATTTAGTTCTATCAGAAATGCAATCGTTTTTAGTTTTAGTTTTTTAAATATTAATTATGTCATGATGCATTATTAAAGAATTTAATATTAATACACACACACACACACACACACACACACACACACACACACACAAAATGTAATATCAATTTCACAAATATAATTTCGTATGTTTATTAAGGAATGATGAGTTATTAATTCTTCTAAA